CAGAGTTTTCTCCTTTAGCCTTATTATTTCTAGTAGTTTCATTTACATATAGTGATTACAATTCTTAACCTTTAGTAAGCTTAATTTTGAGTAAAAACTAGGAAGTAAGCAACTGTGAACTGTCTGCCGCATAATAACATTGTGTAGTAGATTAGCAAATTTAGGAATAAACCATTTCATAGTACAATTTCTTAAAGTGGAAAAAGAACATGTTAATAACAGACACAAATCTGTTTAGTTTCTCTGTAATAAGAAGGCAGAAATAGATAACCTAGGTTCAGTGATTAATGTCTCAGTACTTTCTCTTATTTGGAAATGATGTAGATATTCAATGAACGGCCATCATTTAAGATTTCAAGTTACCAAAAAGATTTTGGAAACAATTTTTAAGCAGACATATTTTTAAAAACTTAATCATTGTTGCAAAGTTCACTTATAAAATTTTATCCCACTTACATCCATTTAATTCATGTGTTCCAAACAAGTATGTTTGAATTGCTCATGAAAATTTCATGAGATGTTAAAAACTAACCATCATTTGAAGTTATTTTTCATATTGAAATCAGGTAAGTATCAAAAGTCACAGAGGCAATGAACTTAAAAAGTGTAAAGCATACGGGGTCTTTTTTCTGCCATGTTGATGTACATTAAGGAATTCATTTTCATAGTACGTTTTGCGATTAGGTTGAGTTTACAGTGTTATAGTTTTAAACATCTAGTAGACGTAACATAAGCTTGTTTGGCTGGTCTTACTGTACATGACGTTTATTGTTTCTCCTTTAAGCCACTAAATAGAGCTTTTGTACAAGTTAGTTTTTAGCCATACTATCTGCAGGGGGAGAAATACCACATACACATAATACACACACATAGTCATACAGACAGAGACAAACAGAGAACTAACACTGTAAAATTTTAGCCACATGTGAGGTACAATAATACAAAACTCAGTAGCTTATTAAAGAATAGTTGGATCAGGGCCGGCCCGTGGCTTAGCGGTTAAGTGCACGCGCTCCGCTGCTGGCAGCCCGGGTTCGGATCCCGGGCACGCACTGATGCACCGCTTCTCCGGCCATGCTGAGGCTGTGTCCCACATACAGTGACTGGAAGGATGTGCAACTGTGACGTACAACTATCTACTGGGGCTTTAAGGGGGGCGGAAAGGAGGAGGATTGGCAATAGATGTTAGCTCAGAGCCAGTCTTCCTCAGCAAAAAGAGGAGGATTAGCATGGATGTTAGCTCAGGGCTAATCTTCCTCACACACACACACACACAAAAAAAAAACTCTTGAGCCGGCCTGGTGGCACAGTGGTTAAGTGCGCACACACCGCTTTGGCCGCCCAGGGTTTGCAGGCTCGAATCCCCAGCATGGACCTACACCACTCAGGAAGCCATGCTGAGGCGGTGTCCCACAGACGAAATAGAGGAAGATGGGCACAGATGTTAGCTCAGGGCCACTCTTCCTCAAGCAAAAAGAGGGGGATTGGCAACAGGTGTTAGCTCAGGGCCAATCTTCCTCACCAAAAAAACAAAAACTAAAAAACTCTTTTTTTTCCCTAGTCTCAGGGGTTGCTTTAGCCAACAATTATCTCTTTAGGTGCTTACAGTTCAAAGACATGATAGATTAATTTTTCCAAGGGACTGAAATAAATGTAGGTTTTATCTAAGAAGGAACTCAGGGGCATATGTCCTATTATCAGAAATCTAGGGTAATTACTATTTAAGTTTTTGTTTCTCTGAAGATTAGGAGTCCAATGGATTTTTTTCTTGCAGTGGAGGCCCAAACCATGGGAAGGCCTGGACCTGGTGGGCTTGGTTACAGAGTGAGGGGCAATATATCAAGCCTCCCTGAGCATCCCTGGGCCTTTGTCAAGTTGTCAAGCATCCCTGGCTATCAGCACTCACAGGAGATTCACACCTGCTGGAGCGCCACTCGCAGCTCTTGACATTTGTTTTACGTCTTATCTCCTGATCTCCTTAAGGGAATGTTTCGTTTTGTTTTCTCTCACTGTAGCCAAGGCATTCTTCTGTACCTACTTCTCTCTTTCTTTACTCATGTATTCACTCTGATCTTTCCACAGGTACCAATAGGAGGACATTTGTTTAGGATGAGGGCTCTCTAAAAAATCCTCTTAGATGTAAAAGTCCAAATCTTCACAGGTATACCTATTTCAGTTGTGACTCCAATCCAGTAAGCCTTTTTTTGTTTGGTTTTTAATTAATTTATTTTTTTTGGTGAGGAAGATCAGCCCTGAGCTAACACCCATGCCAATCCTCCTCTTTTTGCTGAGGAAGACTGGCACTGAGCTAACATCTATTGCCCAATCCTCCTCCTTTTTTTTTTTTCCATTTTCTCCCCAAAGCCCCAGTAGATACTTGTATGTCATAGTTGCACATCCTGCTAGTTGCTGTATGTGGGACATCGTCTCAGCACGGCCGACAAGCAGTGTGTTGGTGAGCACCCGGTATCCGAACCCAGGCCGCCAGTAGCGGAGCGTGCACACTTAATCGCTAAGCCACGGGGCCGGCCCCCCAGTAAGCCTTTTTATGGCTTAATCGTGGACACAAGAGATGTCCCCAAAGAGAGTGGAAAGAATGTAGCTCTCCCAAGATGCAGAGCATCTCCAAAGAGCATAAGAAAGCAAAGACCTTCATCGTGAAGGGGGTAAAGAAACTCCTATCTCCCCCAAAGTAAGACAACTTAAATGAAAGACCCACTAACCTGTGTTGCCAGAAAGGGGGTACTGGGGTGGGAATTTTCTCAGCAGACACAAGGCAATGAAGGGAGAGATGACAAAGGCCCTTTAGGGACTGGGACTCTTTATTAAGACAACCTCCCCTGAGATCTGGCACGGTTGGGCAGAGAATGCTGCTCGTCACTCCATGTCTTGAGCTCCTGGCTGGAGGGCTAGCCACCTGACACTTGACTGACAGTCTGCACTCTCCAAGTGGCAGAAACCAGAAAGAATATTCCACTGGTTACAAAGCCAAATTCTCAGGAGATTTTGGAGAATGTCATCTTATGTTTTTCTTCCTTATGACAAATGAAGATAGGACAGAGACAAAGGAAAACAGTGACTACTTCTGGGAGGGTAAGGATCAATAACCTATGGGCACCCCAAACCAAATTCACAGTGGTCACAATTCAAGAACTAATTGTTGCACATGTTTTTCTCATGACAATATGAATTTGGATAGAAAGAGACAAGGAAAAATTTTTATCCTCCTCACTTGACTGGGCGCCACAGACAGAGATGTGAGAGACTGATATGGTAAGAATTCCTACCTTCTGCTGGTCTGTGTTCAGGTATCCTGTAACTCAATAGCAGTCTCTAGGGAGAGTGGAGGGTCCATCCTTTTACTATCCCATCCCTGTCACCAGAAATTGTAGGGGAGGGGAAAAATCTTTTTCTTCTATCCGTTGAGGTTCTCAGCTGGGACTCTGTAACAGAAGACAGATTAACCAGAGAAAAATGAACAAGTTAATTAGCATGCACATACACTTGGGAGAAATGCAGGGAACTCTAAGAGGTGGCTAGCGTTGGGCTGACACAGCATCTTAACCAAAGAACAGCACAGTAGTCCCGCTTATGGCGTTTTCACTTTGTGTGGTCTCAGTTACCTTAAGTAGTCAACCTTAGTCCGGAAGCAGATGATCCTCCTTCTGACCTGAGGGTCAGTAGTAGCCTAACATGACAGTGCTATGTCATTCACCTCAATTCATCTCATCATGTTGACATTGTATCATCTCACTTCATACGAGAAGGGAGAGTACAGCACAACAAGATATTTTGAGAGAGAGAGAGACCACATTCACAGAACTTTTATTACAGTATATTGTTATAATTGTTCTATGTTATTACTGTTATGGTCAATCTCTTACTGTGCCTAAATGATAAATTAAACTTTATCATAGGTGTGTATATATAGGAAAAAACGTAGTATCTATAGGGTTTGGTCCTGTCTGTAGTGTCAGGCACCCACTGGGGGTCTTGGAACGCATCCCCCACGGATATGGGGGGACTACTGTACATTGTTAGAGGAGTGACAGGACAGATGAAAAGAGATCTAGGTTTCCAAGGGCAGCAAACTGTGGAAAGATAAATCTATGGCGACTAATGGAAGAGAATAGCTAGTCAGTAAAGTCTTCTGGTTCCGTCTCAGGGCTGGTAAGGTCTAGGGCTACCAGTGCTTAACTTCTGTGCAATTTATGTTCTGCTTTCAGGCAAATGGGGGAGGAAAGTGGGCTTTTCTTGCATCTGCTTCTCTTCAGTTGCTTTTAGCTGAAAATAATCCCAATGCCCAAGGGACAGATTTGGGGTGGCAGATTCTGTGACTCTTCTGTAAGTTTGATTATAAAGTTCCCTTTCTTTATAATGACACTTATGTTCTAACACGGAAATGTGAGGTAAGGCATCGTTAAAAAAGAATTGGGAACGTTGTCACATAAGTCTTATTTAGAGTAGTAAAACACTGATTTATAAATTAAAAATTTACAATAGTCACAGAAAAAGTTAGGGTAGGAATCTGGCTGAGCAACATGGTGAGGTGCTATAAACTTATTACAATGACAGGCAATGTGTCATGTTCTTTTGCAGAAAGTGTATATAAAATAATTTTAAGTGAAAAAGATGAATACAACATAGTGCACAAAAAACAATTTAATGAAAATGAATGTTGTCAAAGATCAGAGTTCATTTCCAGTTGGGTAAAATGTTCATTTTCTTTTCTTTATAGTTTCTCTATTTCATATTGAAATAGGAGGAAGTTTCTGTCTTGGTAATGGAGCTGCTTCCCAGTTCTTCCTGAGCCGCTCTTTCAACAGTGTCATTTCATTATTTCCCTTGGGTTAGTTGCTAGCATGTCAGAATCTCTGTCTTCAAACATAAAGAAGAACTTTGAAGTCAGTGGACCGATAGACAGTTCCTGTTTTCCACACATCTGAAAGGGTGGAGTCCCCAAACCAGGCGGAGAAGAAGGAAGTAAAAGATGTTAAATACTCTCTCCCTGCTCCCCCTGGTCAGCCTGGAGGTCTGGCTTCCAGTCACCATGAAGGCTCTCCTGACTCTGGGGCTTCTGCTCCTCTCCGTCACTGTCCAGGGCAAGGTCTTTGAAAGGTGTGAGTTGGCCAGAACTCTGAAAAGACTTGGACTGGACGGCTTTCGGGGAGTCAGCCTGGCAAATTGTAAGTTCCCTCTTCTGCAAGCTTCCAGAGAATTAGCAGGTGTGGAAAGGACACTAACAGAGCATGAGTGATGAGAGAGGGGCTTTGAGTGAGCGGACCATTTTCTTTCTTTGAGGGTTTGTACAGTCACAATGGTTAAAACATCAGCTTGTTCCATTAAGATCAGATGTACCAGAGGAAGGAATGAGGGCACCGGATGGCAAAATTCTCTGCCATTTCAGTAAACCAGGACCTCCTGTACTCGCCCAGTGCCACCAGATCTGCCAGCTGCCTCCACAGTGGCGCGTGCAGCTGACTAACAGATACATCTGAGGCCCTGGGACATCTCATCAAGTCTGGGCACTTGACTCCAGCCATGTCCCGGTTGGAACTTGGGTTCTGTGAACCTAGAGTAATGCAGTATTTTTCTCTTTTTTAATTCCCCTGCCAGGACACAGGGTTTTTAATGGCAAAGTTTTAATGTTATGTTGAACTCTCAATGCAGGGGCAGCAGGAACCTCTTTCCCCTCAATCACTGTTTTTATAAGGATCCCTGAAAACAGCATGAAATGATCTGTTATTATTCTTACTCACTCTAGTTGATTAGCTAGTTTTCATTTTCTTCCCCAGAATTCAAAAAATGCCGTGGGTAAAAGTTACTTTATATTTTAGTCCATATATGTCAATGTAATTACTGTATTCTTTAGTAGAATTCAAACATTTCCCCTCAATAACTGTTTTTGAATGAATGAGTGGATGGATGGATGGATGGATGGATGGATGGATGGAGAGAGAGAGGGAGGGATGGATGCATCGTGGGAGGGATAGATGGATGGAGGGATGGAGAGAAGGATGGATGGAGGGATGGAGAGAAGGATGGACCAATGGATGGGTGGATGGAATAGTCTTTCCTATTCTATAACTCTTGTTTTCCAGATTCTAATTTGATACCCAAATTCATCTTTGGGTATCATAAGAAAATTTCTTTCCCCCAGAAAACCTTACTTTTCCTAACACATACATATCTGCTGTTAGTGACAAAAAACACTCAACAACTCTAGGATTTTCTATTCTAGGCTGAATCTTGCCGCAGGGATGGGAGCAGAGGAAGGATAGAAAGAAATGGCAGAAACAGCTATTTTAATATTTTAAAAGTATGTTTTCTTGCTTCATTAGTATTACAAAATGACTTGCTAACCAAAGGATTCTCTTAAGGGCCCTTTAACACTAAGGCGTTAAAATATTTTACAAGTAAAATACATCTTTGTACTTATAAAGTAAGTCATTAGTGAAGTAGAATGAGCTAAAGAGCGCTGATTGTGGTGAGCAGTGTGTCCTGTGGTGTTGCTGTCCACGACTAAAAATAAATTCTTTTCAGGGATGTGTTTGGCCAAATGGGAAAGTGGCTATAACACACGAGCAACAAACTACAATCCTCCAGACCGAAGCACTGACTATGGGATATTTCAGATCAATAGCCACTACTGGTGCAATGACGGCAAAACCCCAGGAGCAGTTAACGCCTGTCATATACCCTGCAAGGGTAAGACCAGATAACATCCGAGTGATGGCACAGGACCCACGTGGATGTACTTACTGGGACAGAGATTCAGTGCAAATGAGAAATCAGGATGGGTCCATCAGGGACCAGGAGAAACTCCATCTTGACCTCTAGAAAATCTATTATCCTCCTCACAATTCCCTAAGTAAGAAATTAAAGAGCTGGTTTCATAAAATGTTGCTCTTTTCTAATATACAAAAGTTTCAGGGATGACCTATTAATTTATTGCAAATGGACTTATTGATGCTTTGTCAAGAACAATGCCGTTCCTCCCCCTTAGTCTGGGGAGGTTTAAGGACAATTTGGTTGTGGGGTCTTTTTTTAAATTGTTTTAAACGTTTTATTATGAAATGCTCTAAAAATATAGAAATTGAGGCATTAGTATAATAAACAGCCATCTGCCTGTCACGTACTCTAATAGTGGTTAATATTGTGTTATACTTAGTTCTTTTATGTATATATTATATATATTTTTTTTGCTGAATATTTTAAAGTGAATTGGAAGTATTATGACATTTCATTTCTAAATTCTTTATTTTGCATCTCCAAAAAATATAGTTTCTATATAGTCATTGTCATACCTAACAAGTTAATTTATGGATTTGTTTAACTGAGGTGAAACAAATATTCTATTGAACTTTTATAAAAATAGAAATAACATGGAATTTTCAGTGCATAAAATATTGGAGAAGTATTGCAAAACTGATATTGTTAAAATTCCTAATAAGGAAGATTAGTCTTAGAATATTCTTTTGGGGGCCGGCCCCGTGGCGTAGCGGTTAAGTGCGTGGGCTCCACTACTAGCAGCCCAGGTTCAGATCCCGGGTGCACACCCATGCACCGCTTGTCAGGCCATGCTGTGGTGGCGTCCCATATCAAGTGGAAGAAGATGGGCATGGACGTTAGCCTAGGGCCAGTCTTCCTCAGCAAAAAAGAGGAGGGTTGGCATGGATGTTAGCTCAGGGCTGATCTTCCTCACCAAAAAAAAAAAAAAAGCATATTTTTTGGTATCCAGTTAATTTTTTAAAAATGTTTTGTATTATATAATTATATTCAATTACTGAATTTTGAATATATTGGTCATTGCATAAAAATTCTTACTACCTAAAGATTTATGAGCAATGGTATAAATGTTGCTATATACTTTTCCAGAATATGCATCAATCCTGTCTACGAATGTAGAGCTGTATCACGCACATATGTACTCACCTACGAACATGTGAGCAATGTGTTTTAACCAGGATGAAATTGTACCATATATACTGCTTTACCATTTGCTCTTTCTCATACAAAATTATTTCCATGTCAACAAATACAAATCTGTATTCTATTTAAAGGATGAATAAAATCCCACTATATAAATGTTCTATAATTTATTGATCCAGCTCTTACTGTTAAGCACTTAGGTTGTTGCCATTTTTCCCTTTTATTAATCTCTATAAAATGCCTTGTGCATACATCTTTGGGTGCATTTCTCATTATTTCTTTAGGATAAATTTCCGGTAGTGGAATTGCTGATTAAAAAATTGCTAGGCTGTTTTTTTACAGATCCTAGTACAAAAAGAACCTTCTATCATTAGTTAGTAATTCCAGAGGTTCCAATGACTTTGGTCAGTGAGAAACAGAATGCTTTATTTCATGCCAAATGGGCTGCAATGAAAACAGTTTTCCCCCAACATTCACAGATACGCGGACTCTTGGAAAGTAATGTTCATGTTCTTTCTCAGCCTGAGAGCATTAGTGAAATGAGCTTAAGGTGAAATTTCTCTGACAGTTGTTTCCATTCCTCACACCTCTTTTTCAGCACTGCTGCAAGATGACATCACTCAAGCCGTGGCATGTGCAAAGCGGGTTGTCAGTGATCCACAGGGCATCCGAGCCTGGTACGTTTCCGTGAACAGGGAAAGCTGTTTGCCTTCCTGTTAGGGGAGAAGTGAGCGGAGATGTTCAGAGAGCACAGCACACTGCTGAGACCCAAGACTGCAGCTCTAGACTTAGAGTAAACGTGTCACCTGGAAACAATCCACTTCAACTGGTTCAGAATCTCACTCTTTACCCCTCAGTTTATTTTAGGGGACTTCTAGAGTTTTAAGCTTCCCCATACTCTCTAGTTCCTTGTCTTATCTGGAAGTTATATTTGGAATTAGGTAAACGTGGAAGACACTTTGCAGTCGCCCGTGGAGAATGCACAGGACTCAACCCTGTGCTCCTGCATTCTGTGCTCCAGCCAGGGCTTGGGGAGAAGAGAAGTTCTTGGTAGACGGATCCCCATGTAATAAATAGCACTACCTGGGTCTATCTGTAGCCTGTGTCGCGGTGTCTGATAAATTATTTTGTTCTCCCAAAGGATTTGAAGCATGCATACTACAGTGAAGATACGTGTTAACCTTATCACCATCTTTTTCACCTTTCTCTACAGGGTGGCATGGAGAAGCCATTGTCAAAACCATGACCTCACTCAGTATGTCCAGGGTTGCGGAGTGTAACTGAGGAGTTTTCCTTCTTCAGCTCATTTTGTCTCTTTTCATATTAAGGGAGGAGTCGTTGAGTGAAAGGTCACACCACCATTCTTTCAAACAAATAACATTTTTACAGACGCAGGAGCAAGATATGGTCTTTCTTCTAAGAGGCTTAATGTTGACTAATATGTTTATTATTTGATATGAAGCCTACAATCTTTTCAGTTTGCGAATATACCTAATGCTGGTCACAATTTATCTAAAATCTTGGTTATCCAATACATCTCCAGGACATTTAGTTCTTAACCAAAGATTAACCCAGACTTAATCTTGAATGATACAAGTACACCCCAGTCGTCCATAAAAACAGTTATAAAAACAGTCAATACCAACAGACTATATGAGAACAAATTGATCTTAGGCAAAATCCCAGCTGTGGAGGTATCTGATGCCCTCATCTGTTCAGCCATCTCCAAAATCAGTCAAAAATAACCTCTCTTTGTAGGACAATATAATATTTTAAAAGTAGCAGAATGCCTAATGGCTAAAAAGGGAGACAGCCTGAATTAAGAATTGTGTTTTCACAGAGTATGACCTTTGGTTGAAAGGTTTTCTTAGAAATGTTGCTTTTAAACAGCTTTAAAAATAAACTCACAGTGCCAGCCCCATGGCATAGTGGCTAAGTGCACCCGCTCCACTGCTGGAGGCCTGGGTTCGGATCCCGAGCGTGCACCAATGTACCGCTTGTCAGGCCGTGGTGTGGCAGCGTCACATATAAAGTGGAGAAAGACGGGCACAGATGTTAGCGCAAGGCCAGTCTTCCTCATCAAAAAGAGGAGGATTGGCATGGATGTTAGCTCGGGGCTTATCTTCCTCACAAAAAATAAATAAAATAACTCACAATTTATATATCCATCTATTTCGCCCTTTAAAGAGCTCTTTCATGCATCTTAGTGACCTTGAAGGAATGTAAAGGATTAGATGAGCTGTTGCCGTTGCTTGATTTCATTAGCTTAGATTCATGCATTATGACTAAATCTGGAGGCAGGTGAGTTTGCCACTATTGAAATAATTGCTAATTAAGCACGGGTGTGAAATTATGCATGTTGTAAAAAATACAAAGATTGTCATTAAAGGCTTTGCAACTCATACCTTGTCTTTCTTTGTTTAGCCCCATCTGGTGTCTCTGAAGACAAAAAAATATACACTTGGAAAAAAAAAAACATGTGCACTCTTAATACTTTCTATATCCTTCCCTGGACCTAAACAGCTGGCTATGGCTGGAGAAAAATCCACAGGCGTGCTGACAGCTCTCACTTTAGATTCAAAACCACAGACCTCACAAACCTTCAGTCGGCCTGGCCGTCTTGGTCACCTCTCTGCAACCCTTCTTGTGGTGTCCCCACTCTCCAAAATGACTATTTTACCTCTCATCCCCTCTCTTCAAAGCCCAGCACACTCCCCGACGGTCACCGTCCACCCCTGTCTGCTCTCAGTGGATGGCCTGGCCTCACAGGACACTGAGAGAATGGAAGCAACCTCACAGGAAATTCTCCCTCCTCCCCCATAACAGTGCTCCCACCTTCCCTGGGCCGTCCTCCCTTCCTCTGCTCCTGCCCATGGCAGTGTCTCTGCATGCAGTCTCCATCGCATCCCTCTCATCCTCCAGCTTAGGCTGAGTGTTTCCTGCATCCTTGGTTTCTCCTCTCTGCGGCATCACCCCCGAGACTGTACAAACTGCCCCGGTAACCCCCCACCTTACAAAGAACTCCTCACTGGCCCTACAACACCCTCCAACAACAGCATCACTCCTGCTCCCCGTCACAGCAAGACTCCTGGGATGAGACCTCTCTACTCACCAACTCCAGTGCTCACCTCTCACTCTCTTCTCCACCCTTCTGCACCTGGCTGCTAGCCTCACTCAGCTAAAACCGTGCCTCGGGGACTCCACCCAGGACTCCTTGGGGCCATTCTAGCCATCAGCTGTGCTCTGTTCATCTTACCAGATCTCTCAGCAGCACTTGACAAAGTGAACTACCTCCTGCTACAGAAAACTGTCTCTCTCTCAGCTTCTCCTCGTTTACATCCTGTCTCACTGATCACTCCTTCTCAGTCCTTCTTGGGTGGCTCTCTCTCTGATATTTCATTTCTAACTGTAGGAGTACCCCGGGCTCAAGCCTATACCCATTTGATAGACTACATATTTTACTTATTTGTCCTTCTTGCTGAAAGATAACTTCCAAAAGAACAGAGTCTATTCCCACTTCTTAAAGACATTGAAATAATGCCAATCTTTCCCCAAATTTGCAAGTACAGTACAAAGGCATTTTATTTTTTCTGAACAGTTTGAGAGTCAATTGCCCACATGGTGCCCAGTGGCCCAGAATGCTTCAGTGTGAATTCCTCAAAGCAAAACATAACCTCAAGGCATCATCCGAATCTGGAAGCTAACATGGACGCATTCCTGCCACCTAATCTCAGATCCAATCAATTTCACCAGTGTCCCCGTAAGTCCTTCAGAATAAAGAGCCAATTCAGAATCATGTGCTGTATTTGCTCATCACGTTTTTTTAATTCCCTTCAACCTGGATCATTTCTTCAGGTGTTTTTCCTTGACTTTGTGACTTGAACATTTTGAAGACAGCAGGCCAGTTATGTGGTGAAATGTCCTGAGGTTCTCCTGCTGTCCTCTGGTTGGACTAGCTCATGCATCCTTTGCGGGAATACACAGAGGTGATGCTGGCTCTTCTCACTGTATCCTCTCGGTGGTGAGCAGCCTGAAAGGTCTATTACTGATGGTGTTCACCTCGACCACTTGATTAAGGTGATGTCTGCAAGTTACCTCCCCTGTAAAGTATTTGGGAGGGGAAAGGCACTTTGAGCCTGTTCTTCATCAAATTTTCACCTTACGCGTTCATTTATTGTATCAGTATGGACCCATGGCTTCCTATTTATTCAAATTGTAGGGGGTTATAATCCATGACTATCATGTACTTGGAGGTTGACATTGCTCCTGATTTGGCCAGTAGAGCCCCTGCAGGCCAGCATCTGTGTCACTTTGCCATGTCCCCATCATTCTCTGAGCACTCCCTTGTTTTCTGGCACAGATGTTCTAAGGCTCACATTGTTCTTTCCCTGCTCCAGCCCTGGAATCAGCCATTTCTCCAAAAAGCCCAATTTCTCACGGTGGATATTTGTATTTAAAAATGCAGATCTGGGCCCTAGAGTGCCACTGTTCCCAGGTCCCATCAATGGACAGAGCTAGAGGGTATATCTACTTACACAATATTTATCCCCATATCTGTCTATTGATACTGAATCACATCACTACCTCCAGTTCCACTCCCACACCGCAGGGGCCATTCTAGTGTTCTCCTTTTCCATGTTGGCAGCTCCCTTCTCTGACAGTGAGAAACCTGGTACCCATTGTCCTTACACTGTATCCTTACTACATGTATGTATCTGATGAACTTGCCTGTATGTAACCAGTCTCCCAACACTGCCACACCACGGAGTAGATGCTCTCCACTCAGGCTCTGACACCTCTCTTGGGCTACCCTCCCCCACATCCAGACACCCTTTTACCATGTTACATCTCTGACAGACCATGCTGGGCCACTGTCCTGATAGCAAGGAGGGCAGAAATGTGTTATTCTTGTTTACACCCATATCCCAAGTACCTAGAACAGTGCCTGGAACCTGACACATGCTCTATAAATACCAGTTGATTGAATGGATCTCCTTCTGATTATTTAGTATATTCCTCCATGTTGAGCATTCTAATTTTTTTCTTTCTTTCAAGCCCTCATGATTCCAGTACAGCAGCTTCTGGGATTCCAAGGTCAGGTCTCACTCTATGTGTCTGTAGTGCATAGACCAGCCAGGTGAGGGCAGCAGACGGGCCCAACACAGGTGTAGCCTTGGCTTCAAGATTTGGGGAGCATTCTGATACGAATAAACCCAGGAAGAATATGGGTTTATTCCTATCAGGACATCCAGTGGTGTCCGAAGAATGCGTCAAGTAGGGGAGAGAGACTTGAAGAGTGACAGCAGAGATACAGAGATGACATATAGCCGAGAAGTACCGGGATAGCTCAACAACACAGGTTGACTGAGGAAACAACCAGAGGTGAACAAAAGCTGGCCGAAGAGGGAAAGCAATGCTTGCTGGAGATTTTGCTTACTGTTTTTGATAAATACCATTTCTTACCTATACTTGTTATATTATTACAATCAAGTTCCCAAACCAAATTTCTACTCTTACTCTGGAAATGGAATACAAACATCAATGTTTGATCATTTAAAGAAGAAACTCAATTCCTATGTTGCTTAGTTTCTCCTCATTATATTGTTTGAAATGTGGAATGATATTCCAGATGATAACTGAGCTCTTCGTGTCACAATAATTGTAACTAAGCCCCGAGCACATTTCCTGCACTTCTATTCATTGCACTCATCCAAAAAGTGTTTTCTTAGGAGTTGCTAAAGGGAATTACTAAAAATTATAATGAAGAGTGACTAACGTCATTCATAGATGTAATGTTTTTCAATTACATGCGTGTCTATTATGCAATTTATCTTTTAAAATCATTTTTAATTTTAGCAGGGTTATAAATTCTCATTGTTTACAGAGTCAGACAGTATTACAGGTCTGTCATGAAGAATGTACCTCCCCAATTCTCCCCCTTCACATGCAACCAATTTCTACTGTTTTAGCTTAATGTTAATATTTCTATATTTACTTCCATGCTTTTAAGTATTAGTCTTATACTGCTCCTTATTGATTTTTCCATTTTAGGATATTGACTTCCCACTGCGGGGGTTAAGGATTAAGGTCTATTTCCCCCTCCCCGATGTCCATCACACATGGCATCCTTCCCCAAAGCCCAATCTTCCAATGTAATGATATTATTTTTGGTTAGATCAATACTCAGTATTTACACAGCCAGAAATACAATTACTTTCTTCTCTTATACAAGATTGCATTTTCCCTAGAGCTAATAACTGCATGCTTCTTAAATTTGCTTGGTTTTCTGTATATCTGTCTCAGTTCAGCTCCCAAACTCTAGGTCTCGTGTTTACATCTCCTCTCAAGGCTTTAGACGCAGCTACAATTGTGTCCAATTCATCCTTCTACAGCAGTAATTCTCAAAGATGTCCGACCAAGCCTCACTGGGACGGGTTGCTGTCGATGCCTAACACGCAGCTATCATCTTTCAGCATTGTCGTGGGATTCTCTTCTTTTCCCTCCAATTGGTATTTCTTGTGTTTCCCGAATTTCATAATTTCCTCCTTCTTGGTTATTCCCTCATTTTGGTGGCTCAACCTCCA